TAATATTATTTATTGAAGATTGTATAGTTAAAAATAAAAAAAAATTTAAATTAAATTGAAAAGTTTTAAAGGGGCAAATTGGAACTCAGTAAGTGGTCACCAGACGACCTAGTCTCATGTTTTGCATTTACCATGATGACCTCCATTGAAAAAGTAACTTCAATCGAGTCCGTATGTAATCTATATTAAAAAACGATTTAACCCTATTCACATGGATATACAATGTGACCAAAGTCAAAATAATCAGCTTTCAAAGTCATTGTCAATTTCATTATTCACGTTTACAGCCAAGGTTGAAGTGTCAATATATTATAATTTTCAAAGAAGAGGAAAATAGAAATAACAACGTAATAATTAAACCTTATTATAGATACAAATTAGGATTAGCATAAAATTAATGAATTATAGTCCTAACTACTAAAGGAGACTGTCATATATAGGACTACTAATCACAATCAACAAAGGAAAACAAAACAATTTTTCTTCACAAAACGCACACATATAAACCTAAATTTCTTCAAAAAATTCACATACACTCTCCCTTCTACATACAGAAAGATAAAATTTCTCCACGAAGTGCACAAACAGGCCTAAAATTGGGAATAGAACTTTTTTCGCTAGAAAATTTACACAGATTTTGAAACAGCGACAGTTAAAGTCGGCGACCAAGGGTTTTTTTGGTTATACAGAAGATTTTCAGGGTATATTTATTTCATTATTATTGATTGGAGGATTGAGGGCTAGTCTATTAATTGACATTTGATACGTACGGACTGTTTCCTTTTGTTTTCTGATATTTTCTGCACTGCTAAGGGATCAAATCTTTGGATTATTTCTGGGATTTTGGGATTCTTTCGTTATCGTTGGTTAGTTTGGGAGTCTAGGGTTTGATTTTCTCCCTGCTTTCCATCTGGGATTAGTTTTGTTGAAAATTACGCTGTTTTGGGATATTCACTGCACGGATTAGGATTAAATTTTAGTGGGCTGTTTATCGAATTTTCTGGTTACTGAGATACGTCATTCTTCTTCCGTCGCTTTCTTGAACATTAAGGCCTTGACAAGCCTTTGTTAATATGGATTCTGGGCTTAAAGAGTTTAGTATTCAATCACTTGATTAGAGTTTTCTTATTGACATGACATTCTAAATTGTATAAACAGAGAATTCTGATTCTTCCATCGTAACTTTTGTTCTTTGGAGGAATTGTTGGATTTTATGAAATTTGGTTGATGTGCTGCTGGCTAGTGAGTTTTAAGTAGCACAGTATGGGCTTTGGCTTTGAGAAATCAAGTTAATTTATAGTAAATTTTGAAAATATTAAACATTTTGGATTGACGTTGTCTAAACCGCATTCTGTTTTGTTGGGGGTGGGTAGAAGGTGCTGCATTTATCAATCATCTGCACGTGCCTCTGTCTAAGTGGTCATTAATTTGAGGAAGACAAGTCAGTTTTCTTTCCATTTATTCCTTTATATGATAATGTTTGATACTTGTTATGGAAAGAAGTGAGCCTACATTGGTTCCGGAATGGTTGAAAAATGGTGGAAGTCTGACTGGTGGCAGCATTACATCACATTCAGGTTTTTTTTATGATAATTTTGAAGTAATATAGTTTATTTAGTATGTTCTGCTTAAATTGGCTTAATCTAGTTTCTAAATGCATCTTTGTTTTGTCAGAGAGTCAAGCTACATCAAATCTTGCAAGAAATAAGTCATCTGTGCATAGCAACGGCCATGATTCAAGGCGATCATATGGTTCTGATAGAACCACTTCTTCATATTTCCACCGGAGTTCTAGTAGTAATGGTTCTGGTCGTTTGATGTCTTCCGGTAGTTTTGGTAGAAATCACCCGGATAGGGACTGGGAAAGGGACATAAATGATTCTTGTGACAAAGGAAGGCCTGTTTTGGGGGACTATAGGCACAGAGATTTTTCAGGTGTTTTTGGGAACGATTTGCCGAGTAAATATGAGAGGGATGGGGTGAGGCGTTCACAGTCTATGATTTCTGGGAAACGTGGGGAGACATGGTCAAAGAAAGTTGTAACAGACTTGAGCAGTGCCAACAGACACAACAATGGCTTGCTCACTGAGGGCAGTCCTGTTGGCAGTGCAAACAAAGCTGCTTTTGAGAGAGATTTTCCATCCTTGGGAGCAGAAGGAAGACCAATCACTCCTGAGGTTGGAAGAGTCCCATCTCCTGTCTTGAGTAATGCCATTCAGAGCTTACCCTTTGGCACCTCAACTGTGAAAGGTTGCGAAAAGTGGACCTCAGCATTGGCAGAGGTTCCCTTGATAGTTGGTATTAATGGAATTGGCACGTCATCTTTGCAGCAATCCACTTCTTCAAATTCTTCTTCTGGCACTTTTGGGACAAGTTCTGGTCTCAACATGGCTGAAACTGTGTCTCAGAGTTCTACTCATGCTCAGACTACTACTCAGGTAATTTTCAATTCTCCCTGTGTTTTCGGGGAATGAATCAGAAAGTTATTATGCTTATATGATGTTTTATGTTCTGTTACAGTCATCAGCTGGAGCTTCAAGACAGGAAGAACTGGCATTCAAACAATCTAAGCAGCTAATTCCCATGACACCATCCATGCCGAAAACCTTGGTAAGAGCGTTAAAACCTTTGCTTTAAAGTGCGTGATACTTAGTGAATCAGCTTTGATAGAAGAAGTTTGTTAATATAGAGAAAATTACAGAAGTATGGAGCAAGGAGTACTCGGCTACACGTTAACACAATGAAAGGAACATATGAAATAAATGAATCTTTCTAAGCACATTGCAAATCTAATAGAGCTAAAATGGCAAATATGCTAGAAGCTTTAACACATAAAGATGACAAAACACACAACTGTATTCCATATTAATTAACATGGAGTCATTTCTTCTTCATGCGAGAACTATGTATTCTTTCAATCCAGGCCATCAGTGTGGCAGTTAGACAACAGGTTCTTAGTATTCCTATTAACTGAATATGAAAGGAGAAAAATGGAAGCGTATCTAATATAAAGAAGATTTGTAAATATATAGAAAGAGTTACAGAAGTAGAGGAGTGCTTTGGTAGTTTTGGAACTTCAAAACAAAGTGTTTGCTTGGTAGGGATTTTGTTAATTGATTTTTTGATTGTTAGAGATAAAGTGGGTCCTACTTGTGAGAGAGAAATTCAAAAATGACGGTTGAAATAGTGAAATAACTGTCAAAATTTTGATTTTAATTGGATTTTAAGCTGTACCAAACATGCTCAAAGAAAATTATTATTGAGATAACTCTTATTAGCGTCTTGCATATCCAGTATAGCTAAACTGGCTCATGGCCTAAAAACTTTAGACCATAGTGATGACAAGAAGCTCGCTTTGTTTCACAAGCAATGAAATTACCCTCTCTATTATGTCTAATCTAGAAATGGCTTGCTTTTTTCTAGTTAATAAAGAACTCTATTAATATTCTAGTCTTCTAAATTGGAAATATTTGTTCCTATACAAACTTCCAACCTGATTGTGAAAGGAAAAATCAAATTGTTTCAGTATTTACTGAATTAAACATTATTTAGCTTCTTTTCCCGCTCTTTTTGGGTATTTGAAACTTATTTGGTTTATTGTTGATGACGTGTTGATATTCTCTCTGAATTGTGTTTGCCTTTAGCAGCATTTATGTTGATCCAACATCTTTACTCTTACTTTTATAACATCTGTTTGCATTTAAACTCCAACTGATGATGATTTCTACCAATATCAATGGATGAATGAATGTGGGAATTGACGGCATGAGAGTTTAAACATGCATGGTCAACTGGCGATAAAGGCCCCCAGGACTGAATCTTACTTATACAACTTACTGTCTCACAACTGATCCCTTCTTATCTTCACCAGACGAGTGGTTCATTATCCCTTTTAGCCTATTTGGACAAGGTAACCATATAATAGTCAGTTGTCTGGTTGTCCTTAGAAACTCACTAGCCAGTATCGTATCAATCAAATTCCAAAAGGCCCCTCAATAATTCCTCCAACGATGTAAGAGTCTGCATTCTCTCTGGACAATTTATACTGTCAAGTCAATACCAACTTCTGTAATCTCTGTGGTGCCCTAAGGCAATGTTAACAAGGAATTTTTGAGGCCTTCATGTCCAAGAAGACCAGAAGACGGATGCCATATCTCAGTAATGAAAAAATTTAATTAACAGCACACAAAATAATTATCCTAATCCGTGCAGTAAAAATCCCAAAACTTGCGGTACTTTAAGAAGTAACTATCCCACAGGAAAAGCAGGGAGGTAATCAAACCTCAGACGTGCAAACCTATCAGCAATAACAAAAGAATTCCAAAAATTCCAGAAAATCTAATGATTTGAACAGTGAGTAGCACAGAAAAAATACCGGGAAATAAAGAATGGTGTGTGTATTAAATGTGAAATAGAATGGCCCTCTATTTTCAGATTAATATAAGAGAAAAGTATATCTTCAGAATCTTCTGTATAAGTGAAAACCATAGTCCCTTCAGTCAAAACTTGCAAGTGGTGAAGGTTCATAATTGGTGTCAAATTTTCTATAGATAAAAGACTAGTGTCCTTTTCTCTCATTTTGGCCTCTTCATGTACATTGCGGATAGTTGAAGAAGAGTTTTGATGTGTTTGTATGTAGAGAGAGATTTTGTATGTACATGTGGATGTGTTGAGGAAATTTCTGGGTTTTGTGAATAAAATTTGTTTTGAATGGTATTTTCCTTGTTTGTTGTTAGTAATATTTCTATATGTATTGTGGACTGTAGCGTGCTTGTATTTTCTGTGCATGTGTTTGTGCATTGTAGCAAAGTGATAATAGCAGTTCACTTTGTTCTAGTAGTGATAAAACATTAGGACTTATGGATTTGCTATGATGGATGATCAAATCGAAATTTGTTCCTATTGACAGTACAAATTATCTGATGCCACCCTTAAGGTAGGTTTTATGAGGTATAAACAACTTATTTTTAGTTGTTACCTAAACTTGATTTACATAGATTTGAAACAAGAGGAAAATATGTGTTGGAGTATTGAAATCTTTTGTAAATGGATACTTGAATGTGACCATTTCTAGGAGAGTAGGGGTTATTTGTGAGAAGAAGAAACGGGATGGGGGTGCCATACCTCGAAATGGCAGTTTTCTGAAAATGGAAAAATCTCAGGTCTTAAGGCATTTTGTTGAATAATGTCCAGTAGCTCACAACAACAATGACACAATCAAGTCACCTGCAAGAACATGAATGAAAAAGTTTCCGCTTTATGTGCTTATGATATGAGGTTATAATATTACTTTGAGTTTAATTGAGGGAGAGTTTGCAATATGTTCTTTCCCAGTGCTCTATTTGGTTTATTTATGAGATATGCATTTGTCACTTTAATTAAAATACCTTAAGCATTTGCAGATTTTTAGGAATGTGATTATCCCTGTTGGACAACTTTCTGTTATTTGGCACCATTCATCTGTAGATGTATTATGAATATACTGTTGTTAAAATTGAACTTTTGCTTCAGGTCTTGAATTCTTCAGATAAACAGAAATCTAAGGTTGGCCAACAATATACGCTGGCATCTTCACTTCCTGTTAGTCACTCTCCACGCGGAGCTCCTGAGAAGTCTGACATTTCAAAAACGTCTAATGTTGGAAAGCTCCATGTTCTGAAGCCAGTGCGAGAGAGAAATGTCGTCTCTCCTTCTGCCAAGGATAACTTAAGCCCAACAAGTGGTGGCAAAATCTTGAATTCCTCTCTTCTTGTTGCTCCGTCGGGTTCTGGATCTGCAGTGACTAGGGGCCCACCAAACAACCCCATTATTCCTGGTGCCAATCGCAAGCCTATATTGACTGTGTCGGAGAAGAAATCGACTTCCCAAGCTCAAAGTCGAAATGAATTTTTCAACCTTATGAGGAAGAAATCTTTAGCAAACTCGTCTCTCGTTCCTGATGCATCCACGGCAAATCCATCTCCCGTTCATGATCCATCTATGGCAAACTCCATGAACATTCCTGATCACGGTGCTACAGAGTTGATATCTGTTTTGGATAAGCTTGGTGAACTACCTGAGGTGGTGGCTTCTAATACTCCTCGTGCAGTTGATGCCCTGTCATCTATTAGCTTGAGTGAGAGCCATATGTCCGTGGACAGAGGTGAATCGACCTGCAATACTGATGCCTGTAATGGGCAGAAATATGTTAGCAATGGAAAAGAAAGCTTAAGCATTGGTCCTATATTTCCAGAGGAGGAAGCCTTTTTACGATCTATGGGATGGGAGGAAAATGCTGATGAGGGTGGTCTTACTGAAGAGGAAATTAGTGCTTTCTACAGATATATAACTAACAAGGTACTTGACGACGTTGAATTTAATATCATTTCGTGTTTTTATTTTGGTTAATACTGTTGCATTTTTATTAATGACTTACGTTGGTCATGTGAACTGCAGTACATCGATCCAAGGACGTCACTGAAAATATTACGAGTAAAGCCGAAGTTTTTATTGACTCTTGGCTCGGAATTTGGGACTGGTGATAACATTTCTTCTGGATTGAGTTCATCTGACACTATTCTGGAATCTTGATATGCTGGAATCATTTATGTTTCTTCGATTGACATTGAGATTAAAAACTGCCGTAGCAAAATAGATGCTCAAAGTAGATGCTGGTGAGTTGATGCTTTTGCTGGTGTTATGAAAGTGGAATAGGAATAAGTAGCTGATAGTTCCAGTCCCGATATTGATTTCTGTTGATAGATGCCAGCAATTCGGTTCAAGAATTTTCTATAGTTCGGACGTGGAGTAGTAGAGAATAGAATAGGTTTATCAAGCTCCTCAAAGTCATTGCATGTTGTGCAGATTCTAGGCTTTTTAACAGGGGATTTCCAAACCATCCTGGTTTCTTTTGTTGGTTGAAGATAGAAAAGAAAAATAATTTACTTCACTTGGATTCTCGTCTTCATTTTTTTTTATTGATTATTTTAACTTTTTTCTTCCAATTTTTCTTATTTTCAAATCGCCATATAATTTATATTGGGTTTGTGTAAAATGAAGGCATTGAAACTGCATTTTAGTTGCTGGATATAGGAGGATGTTTTTGTGAGTTTTAATAATATGCCCAAAATAAATGTATAAGCTACAATCCTTCTACCTTGTATCTAAAATGGACAACGGATTTTGCAACTTGTACATAAAAATAGTACATGAGTGGTTGCCGAAAATGATGTGGAGGGAAAAGATTGGATGAAAAAGATGATTGTGTTTTAAACTAAAAAATGGTAAAGTGACATGTGGACATTATGTAATTCCTTATGTAAACTTTAATGTACATGTAGTAAGGTACATAGACAAAAGTTTCTGAATCTGATATTTCAACAAAGTTTGTAAATATTTTTACTTAGTTTAGACAGTTTAAAAGAGAGTTGTTTCGGTCGGGAATATGTTAATTCCACTACCTTCTCCCCCACAATCCTCGGCTCGTCATGCCTACAATTTAAACTTGGAAAATAAATTATCGTTAGAGTTTCTTGGTGGCCAGTTATAACTCAAATAGAGGGGGCTTTTGGTAGGAAAAACAAATAAATGGAGGAGATGGAGACACACACAAAACACAAAATGAAAGAAAAAAACTCGAAAATGAATGCTTTACTTGGATAGTTGTCCCATCTCTTTGGAAGATTGCTTATGGCCTTTTCAGGCAAATTAGTTCTTGGATGTAATAAAGTCTTTAGTGAGATTGCACAAAGCAAATATGAATACCACTTAAAAAGAATAAGAGCTCTTTCAAGAATTCTGAAAATTTGGGGTTTCAATATGGATAATGAATTTTTATGTGTTTTGTGTCTAACACGAATATATTTCTCAATCCTAATCCTCCAAAATCTCTTACAAGTCATTGATAACTCCTTGTTCGAACTAAGGTGTTTCTCCTTGAAAAGAAAAGCTACTTTCCATTGTAAACGTTCAAAAAATTGCATCATCAGTCTTGCTAGAAATCGCTAGAAAGACCTTACTTACCTCTTCACTTGAGTTCGCTAGAAAAGTCTGCTCGTACTATATATTAAATTGTTAAGCATGTCCGCCACACTATTGTTTAAGAAAAGAAACTAAACAATTTCTTCGGATTTTTACTTGCCTAAGAAAACATACATTGATTATTGATTCTGCCTTACCTTTAAAGGTTCGAGAATCCATAAACGTTTGAAGAGAATTCCTAGAAAATAGAAGGAAAGGATAGCAAGACAGAGAATGGCTATATGTTAGCCAAAAGTCTTCTAAGCTAAATTAGTATCTTTACAATATTATTAGATGCAAAAGTTTAAACTCTTATTTGGTTCAACTAAAAAGTTAAATTAAAATCCAAGTCAAGGTCAACAATTAACACATTTTATGGGACACACAAATTTTCAATTATCTATTTTGCCAACTTTTCATCAAAAGCAATTTTTTTTTTTTNAGCAATCCCCCATTGCTCTTCTATACTAAATCCACCTTTGTTCTTACCTCGCGTCCTCGTAATGCCTTTGTACTGTCTCCTCGATCGTCTTTATTCTTTAAAAATTTAATAAGGCTAAACTTGTAATGATGAATTGGAAGCACGAACGAGATAACAATTCTAATAGAATGATGGAAAATTACAGTACCTGGCAAGTTTTGAATTTTATTATTTACAACTTTCTTTAAAAAAAAAAAAAAAGAAAAAAAAAGAGGAAAGTGTAGAGATGGCAATTTGAACCGTCAAAACCGAAAACCGCGGTTAACCGAACCGAATGGGGCTAAAAAAACCGAACCGATGGTGCAATGGGGCGGATATGATTTTGATTTTAATGAACCGGTTCGTAATGGTGCGGGTATGGTATTTACGTCGTTGAACCGAAACCGAACCGATTACCCGCTAAAAAAAAAATTGAATTGATAATGGGCTTTATACTACTTTTCTATCCAAATCAAAACAAAATCCCTCCCCTCCTCATTACATCTACCTGACTTATTCGGCCAGTCTACTTACCATTAGCTCATAATAACATTAGTATGACAGTATATAAATGCAAGCCCTACTCTCCACAACCACAAACTCACGCACGGCTCCACTGCCTCTATGGTCCAAATCGTCGTCGCCTCCGAAAATTTGTTACATTTGTTAGTCATTCTATTACTGCTGATCATGTAAAAACAGAGTTCGATGTTTATCTAGACGTGCCAATATTGCCAAGGATGAATAGGAATCAACTTTGAATGCTGATCTATGCTAGTAAGACTTGTAGGGAAGAATGCATCAAGTAACTTCGATGCACAACAATTAAGAATGAAGGAAAAGTTTAGTATTATTATATTTATAATATTGTTTGTTAAATTTGTATTTTATAATTGAAAATTAGAATAATGTTTGCATTTACGTTTAGAATATTGTTTGATAATGTTTGCATTTTCGTTTGGAATATTGTGTTTTTGTTTTCATTGACTTTTAACATAAATTGTTTTATATCAATTTGACGGATGAACCTATAAAAAATAATTTATTTTCGTGGTTATTAACCGAACCGAACCGTGCCGAACCGAGATAAAAACCGAACCGAACCGAACCGAATCGATTTACGTGGTTATGGTGCGATTATGGTATGGTCAAAAATTTGGTGGTGCGGTTAAGATTTTGGCCGAACCGACCCATAACCGAACCGTTGCCAACCCTAAGAAAGTGTATGAATGTGTCCGCACACACAAACCTCAACACAGAGTCCGGCCCAATTGCGTATCTAGGCGGATTACCCACAAGACGGCCCACTGTGGACCTAATCCGATCCAAAGAAGGGCAACCAACAGGCCCATGAGATGATGAAAGTCAAGTTACTGTTTTCTTTATCTACTGAAATGATCGCAAGGGTTTTGCAGTGCACGCACACATCTGCACAATGGGAAGCACAGAAGTAGCAGAAAAGACGGAGGAAGAGCTTCGTAAAGAGATTGATGAGCTCCATCGTCAAAGGCGTGAGGTATTGCTTTCTATGAATTCATTTAATTTCGTGTATTTCAACTCATATTTTTAAGTTTTTATTCCTTGCGTTCTTTTGAGAATTTTATTTTTATTTTTATTTTTTTAAATTTAAACTGCACAGATTACAGAGAGGCTTCGAGATCCCAGGGGAATTCGTCGCGGTGGTTTACTGGGCGCAGGACCGAGGAATTTTGCCGCGAACGGCGGTCGACAGCGTGGTTTTGTTCGTCCTGTGAGTGTTTCCTCTCAAACGCAATAATTTAAGTATTTCGAGTTCTTTATTTTGTTCATTGGTTTTTAATTGGGCATGTAGGCGGAGAGAAATGATTCTGAGGACCAGCCACCGGCGAAAAGGAGATTGTCTTCAGCTGTTGTGAAGGTGTGTTGGAAAACCCTTATCATTGAAGCCCTTAAGTTAATGGGAATCCATTTTGTGTAAAAATTGAATATTTGTTTTCTGTGGATTAAAGGTTGAGGATGGGGAAATAACTGGGGAAGGTTCTGAAGATGCGAAAGATATGAAAATGAAGGACTTAGCTGTAGAAGGAAGTGGCAGCGGAGAGAATGTGAATTCTAGTCTTGGTGAGAAAAAGTCATCGGATTGGTCTCGAGGTGTTGGTAGTCAGAGGCCATCCAAAATGGTAAATATTTTGAATATCCTTTAATTTTTTTAGGATCTCTTTGTATGATATGCTGGTCTTCAATTTTTAAATGAAATAAATGATTTATTACATGCTGTATAGGAAAAGTTAATTGAATCTTTTTTTATTTTATTTTATTTTTATATTACCAGGACTTTGAAGTTCCTCCAGCTGAGCATGTTCCTAGGGTGTTGCCAAAAAATGAGGACCCTAGTTTGGTTAGTAGGAATAAAAGGATGTTGGGGCAACTTCTAGGGACTTTGGAGGTATGTCCACTAATGATTTTTTGTTTTTCTTTTGGAAGATTGAATCAGGCTTTGTTACTTTCTAAATGACTGATAATGCATTACCTGTCTGATTGCACAAGTTGTAACTAGTTTATTGACTAAGCTTCAAAAGATATGGTACTCTTGTTGATTATTTGATATTATCTTTCAAGGGGCCTCTGAAATTATGTTGTTTCATGAGTGACTATTAATATTGGCTACTGACTGTGCTAGTGTTTGCACTTAAAATGGCTTTTGAATGTGTTATATTTACTTCAACCCAAGTTCCAGGGATCATAGAACAGGAATTTAAGTATTTTTTGGGAGTTTTAGCATATATTTCTGCCGGTCTCCTGATATCCTGGTTTAGAATTGTCATTAACAACCACCCATATACTGAAATTGTCCATGGTTAATGACTTGAAGTTTGACAAAATTATAGCTTTGAGCCTCAGATTTTCAAATTGATGGGAAAACCTTTCCAACTATTGACTTCGATTGTTGAAGTGCAATACAAATTGATAACTCATTGGATTTGATTACATTTGAATTTAAATATTGATAGTAACATGTTCTCATCCACTGACTAGTTTATAGCAGCTGCATGGCTGTATTATGCACACGTCCAATTCGAAATCGAGTTGCATGGCTAGATTATGCATGAAGGATCAATGTTTAAAAAGCCTTAATTGTGCACTGAGGCATTTTATCCTGTGAAGCAGAGTGTAAGCTTTGAGTGTCTTTTAGGCATAAGCCTCTCAAGATACAAAAATAAAAGAATTCAAAATAACATTAATATGCAAAAATATAAAACATGCTCTTGATAAACCTTTTTCCGTAATAAGAGTAACTAACACAATTAAAGTCTAATTTGAAACAAACATAAAATCGATAAAAAAAAAAAAAGGTAGAAATTTTTTAAAGTTTCATATTAGTAAATCATTCAACAAAATTATGATCTATTATTGAAAGTGGAGACAGCTGAAAAATTTCTCGTACCATTACTACCTTAAATCATTAACATCATTGTTCTCGTTATAAGTTTTTCTTTCTTCTTCTTCTGTTTTTTTTTTTTTATTTGTCATCATCCTTCAATTATAATGGTGTATTCTTTTTTCCATTTTCCTTCATTTTAGGTAGGCAAAAGAAAATAAAAGAACTCATAAAACATTTTAGGTCAGAAAGAAATAACTCTAAGAGGTAAGATCAATAATTAAGTTTGAAAAATGCAAGGCAAACAGGCGATTACCGTAGTTGGCCTGAGCCAACAACCTCACAAAGTCAAGGCTTCACAAATGAAACTTCAGGTGTGGGTTTTGAGCCATTTTATGATAGCCTCATGTGAGGTTGGATTCAAGATGCAAGCCTCAAATAATTTTTTTGAACACTGCGAAGGATTGGATGCTTGCATAGGAAATGATTTTCAACAAAACTAGGAAGGAATCCATGTTTAGATATTCTCTGCTATTCGTATGTGATGCCTATTAGACTTTTAAATCCATGTTCCCTTTTGGCTCTAGTACTTTGATTGTGGGGCTATACAAGTGAATTGTGTGGTTAAGAATTGAATTACGTTTTGACGTTTATTTATGACATAATAATAACTACTTATAGGACAAACCATGTTTAAAAATTAAAAATGCTAATTGGGTACTCAAGCATTTTATCTCTGTGGTACCTTGAGATAGAACAATAAAACAATTCAAAAGAATATAAAAAGTACAAAAATGTGCTTGTAGTATGCCATAAACCCCTTTAAAAATTTTCATAATAAAACTAACAAATAATTGGCAATGATAAATTCTCAAATTATTAGTCATGTGACAAAATTATAATCTACTACTAAAAGTGGAGACCAACTCAAGAATTCCTTATATTATCACCACTAATATTTTCTTTAGGGAATAATTAATATCATTGTCATCATCCTCATTAGTTATTATAACTGTCTTTTCATTCTTTGTTATCTTTGGACGATTGCTATGGCATACTGTCTATCTCATTTTCCTTCTGTAGAGGGGGAAAAAAAAAAAAAAACCCCCCGTAAAACATTTTAAGTTATGAGGAAATAACTCACTAAGGCCAATTATTAAATATTTGAAAAATTCAAGGAAAACGGGCAGATACCTTTGTCGGCTGAGGCATAGGCTTGATAGTAAGCCTCTCAAATGGTATTTAAGGAGTATGGTTTGAGGTGTTTTAGTTTGCCTCACGCACCTTGAATAGTTTTTTAAACCATGGAACAAACTTAGAGAACTAGCGTACTAAGAATTTTTCACAAATTATTGTGATTGATAAGGATATAGAACATAATAAGTTGGGAAAAAAATAAAGAATTGCAAGTTCATCTAGGAAATAAGTTCATGAATGACTTAAATGAACACAGCCTAGAACAACATAATTCATAGTTTCAATGATGCTAAATTTGTTACTTTTCTTAATTAAACTATTTGGAGAAAAATCGGCTGACATTTTTAAATGGTAGAAATAAGATAATTTGTTTTGAAAACATTTCTTGACCATTTAACACAATTACATTATGAATAAACCCTTTTAATTTGTGGAGAAAAACTACTAAATTGTATATATGATGGTTGCTGCATAATGTGCATGAAGCCTAAAATATAAGATTATTGATTGTGAAGAATCTTTAAAGAGGAAACCCTTGTGGCATGGCCTCAAGTTGTTTTACTGTTTAGAAGTATATACTACATCAAATATTGAATGACACTGTGTAGATCCTGCTACGAGTAGAAGAATTTTGAAATTTCATCAAATGTATTGTACCATTTAAGATACTAGGATACCAGGATTTAGACATTTAAGTTTCGAGAAGAATATCATTCAGTAGATGAAATTTACTTTCTTTCTGTGCTGGTGTAAGGGTGGGGTTGCTGGACCTGGTTCTACTTCCTCTGAAGTTATAAATACTCTCCTGTTCTGTCCTCTCTCAGAATTCTATGGTTATGGGACATGTGATTTCCAATTCTACCGATTACTTGTGTAATACTATCTTGAGGGGTACGGAAAAAGGAACACATGGTTCCTTGTTCTGTGAGTATTGTTTTGTCATTTATCTTTTTCCTGCCTACTAGTCTGTATGTATACATCCTCATTGTCGAGGCAAATAGAGTAAGGTAGCAAGCTGTTGACAACAATTTTTACCTGAATGACAGTAAACTAAACATTTTATGGTTGGAACAAGGAAGATGTCTTTTGCTATTGGCATTGGATATCTGATTTTATCTTATTTGTTTGACACACTTCCAGAGGTTCAGGAAAGAAGACGTGCAACTATCCGGTACTGAGGCATACATGCGGAGGTCTGATTCCTTGAAAAGGGTGAGCACTTTTATCCAATCTTTTGTTTCTACTGCATAATGCTATTAACTTTCTCTTATCTTTCATCACCCTCCCTCTCGCCAAGAAGAACTCCCACAACCCTCCAAATCTAAGAAAAACTTGATGTTTGAGATGATTAAGTAGCTTGAATCCAAAAAGATACCATCCGTTCCTGCTATGCTCAAAATTGAAATGATTGAACTTGATGAACTATTAAAGAATCAGTACAATTGGAAAATTCTGTTCATGATTTTTGGTTGGACTTTTGTCTTAGCAGTTACCATTATTTTCATCCTCTTGCTCCCCCCCCAGCTTGTTAGCTGCGTACAAACTACATGCAAGTACTTTGCATATATCTGGAAAATAAAAATTGAGAGGGCATTTGAATATATTGAGATACATACGTTCATAGTTATTTAACTGGAATCTTTTATCATCAATGTAGGCAGAGCAAAGGGCACGTGAGGAAAGTGAAAGGCTGAGACAAGAAGAACGTGAACAGATTGCAGAGAAGCGGAAGAGGGATTTGGTTTGTTCTTATTATTGATCTTTACTGTGCTGTAAAATGACATTTTATGTTACTAGCTCTCTCTGAATAAATAGTTTGACTTTCTGAAAGTTTTTCATTGGTTTATTGCTCTCTTCTTTATCAGACTCTCAGAGCACGTATTGCTGCGAAAGCGGAAGAAAAAAAGTTGGAATTGCTGTTTCTTCGGTGGAGTGAGCACCATAGGAAACTTGGCAATTTCATAAGGTATGTTGTACAGGCACATTGCTAATCTTACTTGTGCTTAGTAGATCCTGATGGCTGACTCTGTTACTCTCTTTCCGGTGCAGGTTATTTCTAATTTTGGTCCAAAAGTGTCCATATTCACTATTTTACTGACACGAAGATAAGTTTCCGTTCATGTGCAGAATGTTGAAGTACTAAATGATGCCCAGTTTCCTGCTTTGCAGGAGTTTAGGTTAATGAATAAAGTGAATTTCAATTTAGTGTGTTTATGACAATTTTCTTTTATCCCTTTTGCTTGCAATTCTTCCAGGACCAAGGCGGAGCCTCCAATATATTACATGTTTGCCAAACCTATGGATGGCAATGCAGCTTTGCTTGAGCAACAGAAAGAACAGGTGAGTTTCCGGTGTAATGTGATATTGAATGCAAATTTGGGTTGTTCATCATAATGACATTTAGTGTTCAAAATAATCTGCCACTTCTTACCCCAGTGTAAATGTGTCCATTACAATTATTTGACTGTGGAGAAGTTAAATGATTTTGTTTTTTTTTTCCCGTTGTGCACATATGAAGTTTGATTCTTTTGACTATGCTTTATCTAGAAAAGAGATGCTATTTCGCTTGTACATGTTAGAATAGGAACAGAGAAATTTGATACAACTCAATGTGGTTATAAAAGAATTGGTTTGTTTAGAGCTTTCATTAGATTTGGCGTTAGATGGAGTGGAGTGTAATGGGAATAAGACATGTTTCAATTTAAATGTTATTGAAAGTATAACAGTTATAGTTGATTTAAAGTTGGTAGATTTGGACTAGAAGACTATTAGAATGCTATGCTCCATTTGCCAATTTGTCGACTTCATCTTTTTTCGACCAGATGTTTCAAGAATGGAAAGCTAGTAGGAGAGAGGAATTGTCTCAATATCAGAAGCAGATTGCAGAATGGTATGTGGGAAATGTGGACAAGGAGCTGGAAAGGTGGCAGAACGGAAGGAAGGGCCGGAAAGCAAACAATGACATGGCAAACTTGCAAGAGACAATGGACAAAGAACTGGAGACTCATCAGCTTGAGCACGGCCCAAAGACTCGAAAAATCCCTGGCGGAAGCAACAATGAAGATGAAGATGATGTGGAAGATATAAATGTTGGTGAGGATGATATGATGGACGACGTGCTGGATGATGATGAAAGTGGGAGGAGAGTTGATGAAACGGCGAAATCTGAAACAGGTAACGGTAGCCATCAGGACGACAAGAAAGAGTAGCCCTCAACTCCATATGTTTACTACTAAGCTTAAATTGTTATTAGGTTTGTACTTTTATTATCTCCCCCATATTTTTGAGCCTGTTTGCCTGAAGGTTATATTATGACCAGTGTGTTTTTTAAGGATTTAAATTGTCTTTCTTTAATTTTGTTGTATGTTCAAACAATCTTTTGGACTAAAGGGCCTGTATGAAATTTTATTTTTATTTCTATTAGTATTATTATTATTATTATTATTATTATTATTATTATTTATGCTTAGTGGATCCATTTTAATTTCACGGTATTACTCTACCAAACTGAGGACAAGAAATTTTCTTGTCATTTAATCCGATTAATCAAAGCTCCTTTTCCTTCGCAGGAGAAGACAATTCCAATCCGGGCGGAGGAAAAGAATAAACCCTCCTGTCTCCTCCCATGTATATCTTTCACTCCAAAAGCTTATTGGTACATATTTCGATGGCCTAGTGAAATAACGGTCAAAAAATTGATACCAAACGGTAAAATTCAATAGAAGAATAGCAACTGGACAATTTTAAGGCTCCCATTCAAATTCAAAAAGAGATCAAAGTTGTCCATCTGATCCCTAATCTAAAGGATGTGAATGAACATGACTCGAGATTTCAAAGTGGAGAGCTAAATCAAATTATCTAAAAGTTGGAGGATGAAATTGACGCTTCTATATTGTTGAAGGATGAGTTTGAGTTGTTGAATAGTGAGAGGATGAGATTAACGCTTTTGTAAAGTTGAATATTTGTTAAATAGTTGAAGGGTGAAATTGATGCTAATAAATAGTTATAGAAAAAAATGACGTGTCTTAGTAGTTGAAGGATGAAAGTAAAGGTGTTAAATAGCAAGAGGATGTAATTGATGTTCATTATATAGGTATATAATTAATTTGACAATGTCAAATAGTCGGAGAATGATTTTGAATCTATTGAATAGTTAAAGGGTGAAATTGTTTTTTGGAGGATGAATAAGAACCTATTCAATAGTTGAAGGACAATATTGAAGTTGCTCAATAATTGCATGACAAAAAGGATGAAGTTGGCCTTTTTATATAGCTGTTGTAGGGATGAAATTGACTTTGTTCAATAGTTGACGGATGCTATTTAATAATTTAAGGATGAAATTGACGCTCTTAAATAGTTTAATACGAAATTGATTCTTTCCAATAATCAAACAATCTTTTTGATTCTTTTGAATGGTTGGAGGAAGGAATACGTTAGTAAATAGATGAAGGTCGAAAAAGTATATATTCAATAGTTCGAGGATGAAATTGATGCTCCAATAGTTGATTGGAGGGTGAAATTAATTCTCTTGAATAGTTGAAGGATGATTTTGATTTTAATAAATAGTTGGCGGATGAAATAGATGCTATAAAATAGTTGGAGGATGTTATTGTATCTGATGAATAAGTTGAGGAAAACATTATTGCTAATGAATAATTGAAGGATGATAATGATGCTACTTAATAGATGAAGATTAGATGAAGTAATTGATGAACGAAATTCTCATTTTGAAATAATTGACGGATGGAATTCCTGCCTATGTAATAGTTCGAGAACATAACAAATGCTAATGTGTACTTTATCTGGTTACGAAGATGATGCAAAGATTAGGATGAGACTGATGCTTACTACTTAGTAATAGTTTGAGGATGCAATTTACAATATTCAATAGTTAGTGGATGAATTTTGTGATAGTTAATAGTATAAGGACGAAATTGACACTTTTTAATAGCTGAAGAACGAAAATGACTTCAATTATAGTTAAGAACGGAATGTATTCTATTTATTGATTCGTTGGACGATAGTGATAATGCCCAGAGCAAGAGTGAACCAAATCCAAATTAAACCAAAGCCCAACAAGAACTAAACCTTAATTATAGCCCAGCCCAAAAGTAAACCCAACCCAATATAAAGCCCAGAACAACTATGAATCTAGGGAGCACAAAAAGTAACCTGAACCCAAACTAAAGCCTAGAACAAAAAGTACATGAGCCCAAATCAAAAACCAAACTATCAGTTAACCCAAATTCCAACTAAAGTAGAACCCAACAGTGAGCCCAAACAGAAACTCCAAAGTCCAATACATCAAAGCCAGAACCGAAATTAAAGCCTAGCCCAAAAAATAGCATCAGCCCAAATCAAACCCCAAACCATAAGTGAACCCAGTTCCCAACTAAAGGTGAGCCCAACAGTGAACCCAAAGCCCAATAGGTGACAGCCAGAAATATACCCAGCCCAAACCTAATAGCCCATAATTATGGATCCACGCATCATCTGTAACCCGAGTTAAAACCAAGCCTAAAACATAACCCGAACCCAAATAAAACTAGGGAAAATTGCTGTCGAGGTACTAAACCTTTCGTTTATTGGCAGACTTTACTCAAACCTTTAGTTTGTGCCATCAGAGATACCAAACCTTTAAAAAATGAGCAGGCCGGTCCAAAATGACAGTTTCTATCTGTTTGATCGCCCAAACCGTCAGTTGACCCCTCTAATGATATTTTCAAGATTTTTCCCCAAATAAGTGAAGGGCAATCTACGCATTACACACATTTTCCTCATATTATATACTTCACTATTTGTTTCCCTCCATTTCTTTACCACTATATTACCTCCTACCTTCTCTCTCACAGGTAGTAAAAAAAAAAATCAACACGCACATGAAGTTGAATGTATGCAGATGTGGTTCTCCGGTGCAGATGAAGATCTCGTGGACGAACCCGAACCCGGGAAGTAGATTTTTAACTTGTCCTCGAAGCCAAAATGTGGGTGGATGTACCTTTTTTATGTGGTGTGACCCTCCAACGTGTGAGAGATCGAAGGAACTGATTCATGGTCTATTACGAGCTAGGAGGGAAATGGAAGCTAAAATCAAAACCCTTCAAGTAACAAGACCAAATGTGTGGAAGATTTGGCTCTTCGGATTTGTGTGTGGAGTGTTTGCAAAATGGGTTTGTTCCTAGGTATGTAGGGTCAGATTGTAGGATGTCAGTATTTAGTTCCAGAAATTTGAGTTTAGGGTTTCGGTATGGAGCCATGTGCTAGATGTTATGAAAATGCATATGTAAAAGGGAAAAATTGTGCTGTACCTTTCTACTTGAAATGAAGTGACCCATTTTTCCTATACTTAATGCTGCTTTAATAGGTGATAACGATATTTTCCTGGCCTCTATGTAAAATGCGAAATTAAAAGAGCTGATTGCACTCCAAACTTTTCCGCAGAAGGTGTAGCATAGGTACCAAACCTTATAACGATTTGCAGAATCAGTACCAAACCTTTAAAAACATTTCAGTAAATGTATCAAATGTTTGATAATACTTTCAGAGGAAGTATCAAACGTTTTCATATATTTCCTAGTCGCTTGCACATCAGATCTTACGAATAAAATTTCAGAAACTAACGACAATCAGCAGAAACATAATGCAAGAAATTCGACATTAACATTATCATCACATTCAACAATTTCATCAGAAATTTTAGTTAAATCTACAAAATAACAGCATTGGAAGCACATAATTCCAGTTCAGTTTACAAAAAACTACAGCATTTTCCTAAAAAAGTAAGTAACTATACAAGAGAAACCACATGATGTTCAAGATTTCGATCCTCTATTGTTGGACTTCTTTGTCTGTGACTTGGAGGTTTCCGTTGAATGTTCTTTTCTCTTCCCCTTCATTGATCTAGTCTGTGTATCTTCTTAGGACTCTGTTTGTGTGGTTGGTTGAGACTGTTGCTGTGAACTATCTTCACCAGGTAGTGGTCCCTTACAGCTTCTTTTGTTATGTCCTGACCCTTCACAGCGTTTACAAGTCATCTTCATGCCAGTCCTTCCCATCTTAACTCTTGCAGGTGGCTCTGTCTGTGACCTCTTCTTCATTTTTTTGGGTCTACCAGCCAGTTTTCTCTTCTGAGGTTGATTGAGAGGATGCTTTCCCAATTCTGGCCACAGCTCAGGCCCTAACATCGGGTGGATCACTGGAGAATAACACTTGAGGTATGTTTCCTTACTATACCATGGGTTGATGCACTCATATATGCCAATATCGCTTGAAAGCATGCCTGATATTGCATGGGGACATAGTATTCATGTGAGCTACCATTTTCTGCATGCACATGCATGTTTTGTCAAGTCAACGCTCCACCTCAAACTGTCTCCGCTACTTATCTCAAATTTATGGTTGTCTGCATAGTCTGCCTTCAAGTACCTTGCCTCAGACTTAAACTTCTCAATGATTTTCACAATTCTTGGCCCGAATGCATGGTTCTACCTCTGTGTTGCTTCCCTTTTTGTATTCATCCTTATCATTTGCTGATGCCGAATTTTCTCTAGCATAGAGATGATGGGCTTATCTCTGGCAACAACAATGGAAGAATTAAATGCCTCACACAAATTATTAAGAAGAATATCACATCTCGAATGCTCTTCGAAATGGGATCTGGTCCACTGGGAAGGAGGTTTTTCAAGGAACCAGTTGTAAACCTCTTCACTTATGTCTTTTAACTCATTCATTGCACTCATCCACTCCGACACTGTTGTTGCCCTTTCTGCAGTCCAAAATAGGTTCTTAAGGGCCAGAACTTTGTGTGCCAAGGTGAAAATGCTATAAAGATGTCTAGCACAACACCTATGCTCCGCTCCTTCACAGTATTGACTTATGGAATCCACCAAACCCTTTTGTTTGTCGGAAATGAATGTCCAAGCTCGAGGGTTGTACATCTCTATATCCTGAACCAACATTTCTATGAACCATTGTTAGTTTGTTTTGTTCTCCGCATCCACAACTGCCTATGCTAACGGGAACATACAGTTCTCACCATCAATGCCAACAACTGCCCACATTCTGCAAATTTTACGAAGCACCCATCCAACCCAACAACTGGCTTATGCCCAGCCCTAAACCCTTCTTTAAAAGCCCCTAAGCAGATGTACAATCTCTTAAAAGTTTGACTCGAACCTTCGATCTGTACTATACTGCCTGGATTTGTTCTCTTCAATTTCTCACTGTAATCCCATAAAATTTTGTACTGCTAAGCTACAATCCCATTAATAACTTCTGCACATTTGGATCTTGTCCTGTAGAACTGATGTCTTGAAATCTCATACATGCAGTGATATTTCA